AATTCATCACGAAATCAGATTGATGCATACAATGAAGTGTGTTTAAATTTGGTCGCATCTTTGAGTGAAAATTCTCAATCTACAAAATCTCCGAGACATGCAGAACCTGGAAGTTGACATGTTCAAAACTGTGGAAGATGGTCCCCAATATCGGTTTGCTACTAGGTCGAGGTTCCATGTGGATCCAGTTCAAAATATTGCATCGATCAGACGTCTATAAAAATCAGTTCAACTCAAAATTAACACTTTTTTGATGATCAGTGGAGGTTTTGAGAAGTTTTGTCGCTGAATGTACTACGTTCACATGATTAATTCATCCATCCCATGCATTATTCAATCTCGAATTTAACTGTTAGACAAAGTCGAGAAAGGCATGATATAAGGACTCCGTGGCGCAACGGTAGCGCGTCTGACTCCAGATCAGAAGGTTGCGTGTTCAAATCCCATCTGGTTCAACCTCCTGATGATTCAAGACCAATTCACGAGCAGACCAATTCATCACGAAATCAGATTGATGCATACCATGAAGTGTGTTTAAATTTGGTCGCATCTTTGAGTGAAAGTTCTCAATCTACAAAATCTCCGACACATGCAAAACCTGGAAGTTGACATGTTCAAAACTGTGGAAGATGGTGTGCCCAATATCGGTTTGCTACTAGGTCGAGGTTCCATGTGGATCCAGTTCAGAATACTGCATTCGATCAGACGTCTATAAAAATCAGTTCAACTCAAAATTAACACTTTTTTGATGATCAGTGGAGGTTTTGAGAAGTTTTGTCGCTGAATGTACTACGTTCACATGATTAATTCATCCATCCCATGCATTATTCAATCTCGAATTTAACTGTTAGACAAAGTCGAGAAAGGCATGATATAAGGACTCCGTGGCGCAACGGTAGCGCGTCTGACTCCAGATCAGAAGGTTGCGTGTTCAAATCACGTCGGGGTCATAAGTTTTTCTCATTTTGTCACATACTCTGCTGAGCGGATATAAATGTTTGTTCTTTGTTTTTCTGTGCTGCTTCAAGCTTTTCAGTCATTTTCATATCATATTTATCACTCCATGTGCCATGAGGATTTCGAAAGTATTATCTCGAAATCAATGCGTGAAATGAGATTGTTCACGCTGTTGATTCATAACAACCATTTTTGTGACCATTTCAGTTATTTCGTCACAACAGATAACCCTTTCATAAAGTAACAACTAAAATTTTCATATTATGAGGATCGGATTAACTCTGAATAAATAGGGTAAATGGATAAACGCGTGTAACATCGAGAAAGCAGATGAGAGCAGCTCAAAAAAGCGAGTTTTAGAGTGAAAAGCAGTGAATGTTTATGACTAATTGAATGTGGTCGATTCATTTGTTCGTTTAATAGACGACAAGTAGTTGAATTGCAACCATAGTTACCGAACGTAACCATGCGCTGATGATGACTTGAGTTGAGCTCAAACTTGCGACTACTCGTCGCTCATGTACAGCTCAGATTCACTTCGTTCATCTACAATAATTTTCACCTCGAATGAGTAGTATTAGCAATTGACTGTTCTCTTTTTGTATTCTACTCAACTTCCATGATATTAGTCCAGTTAATAGTCCAGTTTTGATTTTTGGTTCGAATAGTTTTAAGTTTAAGTTTTAAGTCTAGTTAATAGCAAACATTTTATGTAGCTTTTATAATGGTTCGAAAAGTTTTCCGTTGTCTCGCTATCGAAAGAATTCCCTAAAGGAACAACAAAAGGATATGTCCTACTGAATGTCTTTACGTCATCGTTAATACAGCTAACAAATATTTATGTTTGTTATTTGTAGAAAATTCCACTTTTCAATTTCACTTTCAACTTTTTTTAGGAGCTCATTGAACGGCACTGAATCGATTGATCGATGTGATTGAGCAAAATATGATGGCGTGGAGTTCCTCAAACAGTTTATTGGAAGATGAGCTTGATGATAAGAGTTACTGCGATACGCAAATGTTGGTGTTGAGTGGGATTGAGTTGTTTACATCCTTAACTGGATGTTTATTATGTGTTTTGACGATTGTTCTGTTGCGAAGATTCAACGTTTTTCATGTGAATCTGCGGAAGTTGGTGGCTAATGCAGCGTTGATCGTGTTCTTCGGAAGTGTTTGCGCCACAATTCGAGCTTGTATTGCCATTCACCAATGTCTGAATGGCTTCAATCAAGTTGATCACTCCACGGTATCTCACAATCAGACATTTTCGTGGGACACTTATAATGAAGCTGTGTATTTCAAACGTCCCAAGTTCACCCTTCAAACAGCCTTTCTTTTATGCCTTATTTCCAAAAACGCTTCACAATATTAGACTGTGTATATTTTTTACCTTAGAATAGTGATTTTCAAATAGTTTCCTTCCAAAAAAATAGATACGAAATTCAAGCGTAACATTCAATCGCAGTAACATCCGAGTTTTTTGTTTTCGGACAACGGTGAGGCCAATCTTTTGACTGAAAAGAGTTAAAAATGAGAGTTAAAAATGAGGATGTAATGCTAGCTGGAACAGTACAGATGCACTGAATGAGTTAAATTGATGAACTGAAGTGATCGGGATAACTATTGATTGATCTTGAATTGAGATCTCAAGCAAAAGTGACGGTCGTGATAGCGACGATAATGCCGACAAAATAGGTGAATGTTATTTACGCGACTCAATATCGCCCTCAATCGCAATCGCATTAACTATCAACGGCCTGTGGATTGCAATCGAACGTCTTTATGCAACAGTCAATTTCAATGTGTACGAATATCAGGCAATGGGATACGTTCTAAATGCCATATGCACAATCACGGTACATCATCTCGCAGCTGTTTCGTTTTAAATTCACTCGTTGTTCACAGCTGAAATCACACCGCATGATCCCAGTTCATAAGCACTCACTATCAGCGATAAATTGCTTTGTAGAGTCAACAACTGAATGAATGCGTCTGCATCTTCTGATCATTACATTCGAAACTGTTAGACGTTGGAACTTGGTACATTTCGTGTAGGTGCCCGACAAAATTCCCTCAACAAAATTTCGTTGCATACACTTCAGTGAAACTTTGCATGCGGTGAAAATCCATCGAATGATGAACTGAATATAGCGTTGACATTTGTTGTTGGAGTCAACGTTTTCACACACACGAAGATCAAAATGAAGATCAGAATTCAAACAAAATTGTTGTCTAATGTTTGAGGATGATTATTGCATCCAGTATTCGGATTCTCAGCCACATAAAAATTCGAATTACAGTTGCTACCAATTATTCTCGACTTATTTGGTTTTTCACATTCACTGATGTTCAGCGAAGTTGGCCTAGCTTTTTCGTGTCCAAATCTGAACGATTCTGACTACTGGAAAGTGAATATCGTTTACTTAATTGCGGCGTTTTGCGAGACTATTTTCATTGGTCTCTACTTAATGGTATACTATGTAAGTTTTTCCGTATCTAGAGAACCGTGTTTCTCATTTTAAGTATCGTTCAGGCTTTATTTTTGACAAATTTTCAAAAAATACTATGCTATGGCTTAGAGTATACGGCTGAAACTCTCGTAACGTTGGTTCACTCTTTGCTAAAAATCTTTCTGAAAAGTTGTTATGACTGGACATTTTGGACATCTTTTCTCTTGTTTCTGTCAAATTGAACATGGAAATAAAATGTGATGATGAAATGGTAACATAACTGTTTGAGGATAATAAAAATCGCCAGGTGGTATATATAAGAGATCATTACGACAGCTTCAGTTCGCGTTTTCAAATCAACGAGAACATAAAATCAACTCGACTTTTATTGCCATTTAATGTTGCACTTTTAATACTGCTCATTGTAATCATTACGACAACATCAATCCATGACGACAACGATCCAGCATTTCAATCACCTACTGTCATTAATGTGAAATATTTAAAATCCCATCTCGTTCATTGATTTCACATTTTCAGAATAATATTTTTTTCTCGTAACGAATCATTCCATCCAAAAACAAAATTGTTTCATTTCCTAAACTAATAAAGCACAAAGTCGTAAACGAAGGACTCAATAACTGAGGCAAAAAAAGTAGATAATAACGTCATTCTTCGCAAATCCAAGCTTGATCACAGGCAGGGATTGTGCTGGTCCGGGGGGCGGGGGAGGGAACTTCATAGATGAACAACCCTGTCGTGAAGTACCTCGTCGCCGAGAATACCCTGTCAAACTCACGAACGAAGAGCAATTGTCTGATCATCCGTTCCTCCAATTACACTCTTGGAAATGATAAAGTGATGCGAATGCTTTTAGGAATTACGCAATTTGGCTTATCCTCTGTTTTCGATCATATTTCCACTGAGTTACATCTATCGATGTCCGATATTTTATTCGAAAGCCCGACTGGTCGCAGTTGAGTTGCTATTTCCACGTTCTGAAGGTAAACTGTTCAATATCGAATTATTTGATCTGAAACTGGAAGCATAATGATGGCCCTGTTTTACTGCCGCATCGACTCACAACCGATTGAAGCTATGGAAACGTGAACCGGGGCTCCATATTCAGAATTCAGCAAAACACTTTAAGCGATCGGTTCTTCGATTGATTTCGCAGTTGATCAGAGAACTTACTTCAAAGAGCAGCTGTCAGTAATGTGTGCACGTTCATGAACGTATCCTTCTTAATCGAAATTACTCCACTTCTCAAGAAGAAAACGTCTTACTATTAGATTACACGATTACAAATGAACGTTAAGCACGCCATAACGAGGAGCGCTCGATGCAAATCTGCATTTGCCTAAGGGAACTATCGAAGATAATAGCTGTAACAATTATGGAGTCATTCGAATACATTGATGCTCGAAACACATCTGTTCAAGTCGAAAAAAGTGAAAATCATTATTCAAATAGAAAGTTTTTGTGGGGCAACTAAAAGCTGGTCCATTTGTGCATAAAACATGAATCAGAAATTTACAGTGAATCAAAAATTAAGCGTTCAAGTGAAATTAGATTGTTCTACAAGAAGGAAATTGATCATCTTATTAAAAATCTTTCGAAACCATTCATTTATTTCGGATTCACAAAGAAAAAACTGCCGTTAATTTAATTCTCTCCGTTTCTCTACGATACGTTCACATCTGCTTCGAGCAAGCTCTGCGATGAGGGTCCCTTTCATCCCTTGTAAGCTCGAATACAGGTTCGTTTCCCAAATTACTGGAAGTCGCTATTCTATGAACTATTAAAAGATTTATGAGGTATGTTGAATTTCATCAAATCAAAAAATTTCATCAAACCAGCAATAAGTGTTTAACTCATCCAGCTCAATTGCATTCAAAAAAGAGCAGTGTTCAGTACAGCTATGCAATGGAATCAACAACATTTCATTTTGCTGTTTGATTTTATGATGCATGATTGAAATCTAACGTTGGTAAACAGAATTAGAGTGCTGATAAAATGAATTCGAATAAAACGTTCATTAAGATTAGAAGCGAAGAAATCACGTCGTTTGAGTACCCGACTCAGTGCCAAACAAAAAGATCATTTCGAACTATTAATTGCTTCTTGGGAAGAGAGTGCGATGAAACTGCAATAGTTTCGATGTATATTCAAGTGAATGGGTTGATGTCGATTGCTTCTTTATCAAATTCAATTATTTCTAACCCTGAAACAACCAATATACATAGCAATATCAACGCTATGAGATGCCTTTTTTTCAACAGGTACCATTGGTGGTTTCTCTTAAATTTCATGCATTTTCTAAAATTTCCCATATTACTGTCATTCTTTCTGCGATTTCGACTGTCAAACACTGTGATTTGTTCTAATGCAATGTAGAAGCTGAACTGAGCTTCAGAAAACAACACTGTGTTTTTCAGGATCGGGAACGTTGGTCAATAAATTAAGCGAATGGCGAATATGCGGCAAAGTGTGACAGTATTGTTAATGGGACAATTGTCTTACTNTTAATTCACATCGATCGTTCAACAATATCACCATTTTTCAATGGATTCCGTTAATTTTTGACTGCATACTGATCTTGATCTCTGTTGACAACTTGATCGATTAATTTTAATTTTACGATGAAAATTATTTGTCCAGACCCGTAACCGTCACTAATTCTCAGGGAACGTTTTCCGTGTTTGAGACATTTTCATTGACTATTGGCAAATTCGGCTAAATTTTCGGAATTTTTCTTTTAGGAGTGGAAACATTTTCAATTTTTCCCTACTGAACTAGCTCGAAAAACTTGAAAGTATCCCCTAAAATCTATCCATTTCACCCACATTGCTTTACTGTACCTCTGATCAGGATAATGAAATGTATCGTTGATACGATTCGAATAAATTGATAAATCAGTTCTTTGTCTTCAGGTCTTTATATTGAGTGCTGTTATGGCAGGAGCCATAATCACAAGTATTATCGCATCGTTTTCGTTCGATCTGTTCTTATTGCCAAATCAATCACCTATATCGTAAAGGAACCTTGTTATTGCCCAATCAATCATCTGACCTAATACAGCATATCTAGCCAGTGCAGTGCAATTCCGCTATCATGTTACATCTAAACTGCTGAATAATAGGAGGTTTGCATTCTTCGATGAGGAATACCACTACTTCCATCGAATACGCATAATAGGAGGATGGAAGAAATACCTGCCAAATAAAACAGTGCACATTCTATTATCACAAGAATAGCCAAGCTGATCTCAAGGTTGCATTTTTTGACAGCTCTGAGAACTATTCATATAAAAAAAAGAACATTTGAATATGTTCTGAAGGTTTAGCCAGAAGTGGATAATGTTAATTGAAAACTCAACTGTTACAAGGAACGTTGTAAGTGCAACACGCACAAGTTGAACTAGCAAAAATATCAAGTGCTTCAAGGCCATTCAACGAAAAATTTATGCGTTATATACCACCTGGTGTAAGCCGAAGCATATCGTTGGCTGGTTCCAACGATCGATCAACTACATCACTTGGTTTTAACCAGAGTTGGACAGTGAGTAGCACGCTGTTCCGTGTTCCGCTGCTAGCGGAGCTACGTTTTTCGATAGCGCGGAAGCGCTGGTTTTTTCACATAGTGGCTGGCTGATATTTATAACGATAATTTCCACAGTAATAATTTTTTGGTGGCATGAAGTAGCGAAATCATATGCTATCGCATCTGGTTAGCGTTATGGCTCGCTATTTTTTCGGACTTCCGCTAAACCGCAATTTTTTATCTGCAAGAGAATGCTCACATCAAGATATTTAAAATTCATATTTGCCACAAAGCGTTGACAAGTGTTGCATTCAAATTTATCCTTCACGTTGTCGTCTTAACGGGTCCAAGCTCAACCATACCTCGAATATTTGCGATAAGCATATCGTCTGATCTCATTAATCTCCGTGGCTCTAAATAAGTTAGTGGCTGTGTAATGATGTTTTCTTTTCTTTTGTTGCCATTGTGAAAGAAAATGAATGGTATTTATTCGCATAATAATGCGTAGTAATGTTCGGTGCAAATGATTAAAATATGGCGAATATAATGGCCCAACTGCTGTTGGGAAGGAGAAAAGGCTGGAATAAATTGAAGGAAATTGAATTATATACTAGCAGTTCTCACTTCCGGATGCTCTATTACCCCTTTTGATGATCCGGCAAACCGCCGTTGCCCCCCTACCCACCCCCTCCCCTTCCCCACCCCACACCCATCCCTCTGATACAAGAATTTACTATTTCCATGTATAACGTCAAGAACAAACGGAAAACCGGTCCGGAAATTCCTCAGCGGCGTGAAAGAAATTGGTTTTCTGATTGCATGAAAAGCTATTGTCTATGACACGTTCACTTCAAATTGATTCAGATGGATTCTCATTCTTTTCAGACGTATTCTATTCACTCTCATAGCTGTTACCTGCGAACATCGTTCTCTTGTTGAGTTTTTCTCATTCGTTTCGTCTCATTTCACTTTACAGTTCGAATCAATTTCTTATTCTGTAGTATATACTGTTTACTGGATGCGTTGACGAGTGTTGACAGCCGAAATCAACAATACAACAATCGAATACTATAGCACAACAACGTTCGACAGTCAACTGATCAATTATAGAGTGTATTCAATAGAATGAGAATTTGACTTCAATTGTTGAATGAAATGAATGAGAAATTAGCGAAAGAAAACACTTTCGCTGATAAAAGCTATGAGAGCGATTATAACACCTCGGAAAAGAATGAAAATCCTGTTAAAACTGTATTTAAAGACAAATGGATGTAATTTCAACGTTGCCATGACAACTGCACGAAATACTAATTTCCCGATCCCCTCCATTTCCCCTTGACACCTCCAAATTACCCAAAATGGGTAATTTCACTCCCCATGAGAACCACTGTTACATACAGTGAGAGCAATATCAAGCGATTCAATCGTGTGATGCATGAAACAATAAAATAGGAATTAATAAAATTAGGTGGGCGAAGTAACTCCTTCTTTCCGTTTCTCTATTTCCTCTTGTTAAATAGTCAGTGTGATTTTAATACAGATATGAAACCGATTTCGTTTGGTGAAATAAATCGAAGCCTGCATTTCGTATTTGGAGCAATTGTGAGCAGACAAAATGTTCGCGGAGTAGATTTTAGGCTCTAACGATTCTTTTTACCGATGAGAGTTTTGAAATGTTTAATTTGCAAAGTTGAACAGCGAGTTCAAAGGAATGATTTTGCCGGATACGTTCACTGTTTAAGGAAAATTCGAAAAATTCTTCCATTGCACGATCACTTTAAAATT